CCGTCGAGTAAAATCAAATTCCTCGCGTCCGTTGATCCGACACGGAATCGATCGCGGTGACGTCGACAACGTCGAGAAACTCAAATTCGAAAGTCGCTACGTTGGAAAAATATATATAGATATATATTCGTTGAGGAATCGTCACGGAGGAATCACGGACGATGTTGCGATGATCGCACGAATAGGCGCGCGATTCGAGTATCGTTTCACCTGTGAAAATCGTGGAAGGGGTGAAAGATCGCGCGCACAATGATTACGCGTGGAATCTCCTCGATCGGAAAGCCTCTCTCGAGATGTTCGAAACGCAGGCGAAATCGAAAATAGAGATTCGGGTGGCGATCGATCGATCGATCTGATGCAATTATGGAGGGGATAGGATTTTGGAACGATGGCGCGGGGACAATTTCCGACAGGTTCGTTAAATGTCAAGATAGCGATGGATCTCCCCGTGAAGACGACGGGGCAAGGATGTTGACCAGCGGGATCATCTCTAGATCTCTTCGCCGCGTTCTGAAGAAATACAATAGAGCATGCCGCGTAGAGGATGAACCCCGTTTCCATCGTAAATGTCAATCCGGTGGCTGGCGGTCGATGACGTTAGATCGGTCGATCCCTCGCGACAGTTGGCCAACCGAGGCGACTGACCCACTTCGTGATCTGGAAGCTGGATCTCGTCGGGCGAAACGAAACGGAGGCAAGAGCGAGAAGGGAGAGGCGGACGGGAGGAAAGAGGACAGAAGCGAGAGGGACGAACAGAGTGGACAGGAGAGGAGGCGGCGAAAGAGAGAGAAAGGGAATTAAGGGGAGAGAAAGAAACGTTGCACAAAGTCTCTCGAGTCTGCCGAGAAACGGTCGTTCCTCAAGGCGGTTGGAAGTAATGAAATCCTAATGACATTTTCGTGAGTCAAACGATCTCGGCAATCACGGTGGCGCGGTGTAATCACCGGTCCCCTCCTTTCCGGATGAAGCAACCTAACCGAGGGGACCCTCCTCCGAAAAGGAGCGGAGGACACGAAGAGATACGCGCGATTTACCACGAAACCCGAGGCCGTGCACCCGAGCCAGGATGGAAAAAATCATTATCCCGGTCGACGTCGCGGCGGACAGTTCTGACAAGTGCGCCGGTTCATTAAATTCGTGAAAAAAGAAGGAGAAAAAAAGAAAAATAAAAGGAGGGGGAGGGAAGAAACGAAGAAGAAAAACGAAACATTCGTGGAAAAGAGTTGGTCGAAAATGGGCACGGATGAAACGTTGAAACATCTGTCATTCGCGATGATCTCGTGAAATCTTTCTTCCAACTCAACTCGTTGTCGAACAAATTCTCTTTCTTTCGATATCGTTTAACCCTCTGTTCGTAATTCTCGAATCTAAATAATTTTCGATCGTACCGGAATCGAGGAAGAGAACGAATTTTCAGGGTTTTACGCTGTTTTTACGCCGTTCCCCGTCGGCCATGCCGGCTCACCCTTTGCCATCTTGCCATCACGACGACGATGTAGCCTAGCTTTCGAAGAGACGCCACGAAACCGCAGGAAAAAAAAAAAGAAAAAGAAACGATGCTTGCGGTTTGCAGGGGAAACTGGGAGGGCCGGTGTGCCCCACCGCCTGACCCAAATCCTCGTGTCGGTGCAACAATGGTCGTCTCATGAGAACGCGGTCTTGCACGCTCCCTTTACTTCCTGATTCTGCCTTCTTTTTTCGCCTCCTCCTCGGAGATGCCACCGCCTCGACGTGCACCCGAGGATTCGTGAAACTTCGTGAAAGCTGCGTCGAAAGAACCTCGATTTTTTTCGATCGATCTCTTTTCCGCTTTTCATCGTTCGATCGATCACCGATTTGTTTTTAACATCGTGTATCGTCGGCCGGAACTCGTACGCGTATAATTGCAATAATAATTTTAAATGATAATTGTAAAATCATTTTAGATAATTCCGGGTAATTGTGTATAATTTATAATAGAATATCGTAAATGAAATTAGATTTGTTATCCTTAAAAGCAATTAATCTGATTAACTTGATCGTATATTGTATACGCTATGCTTAATGCGGTTTTTTTTCTTTCTTTTTTTTTTTTTATTTATTAAGATTTTATTCACTCGAATGATATGAATTTCATAACAGTCGATTAACGCGATGTTTCTTTATCGCATTCATTACGAAACAATTTTGATCCGTATATTTTATCTGCATTCCATTCCGAATATTATATTCATTTATAAAATACATGAAAATTAAAAATATTACCATAATTTAATTTCAGAAGAATTCACTTACGTGTACAAATTGTTACTTATATCTTTCAAAATTTAAATTATTCTTATTTCGAATTTTTTAAGATTTTAAAGAAGGCGAGAATTAATTAATAAATAAATTAAACGAAGACGGGAAGATCAATCGAATGAAACAGATCGGACAAAGGTTCTTTCGACCGAATTACGTTTCGTGATTCCCCGGCAATACCCGTTAGAATATTTCCTCGAGCGCGCTCGAGCTTTCCCATCGTGAAACTCTCGACATGGGAACAGAGTACAAAGCCAGTTTCACGCCGCTGGACATCTGGAGCCATCGCGTGTTACCTCGAAATCCGCGAGAGAAAGAAAACAAGGCTCGGAGCCTCGTTGTATCGGATCGGAATGGATCGAAAGGATGGAAAGGATCCGAGCCCGTCCACGCGTTTTCCCTCCGTTTTCCGCCATTTTTTTCGAAAATTTCCTCGTCGTTCTCTCACCTCGACACACCTTTGCGACGATCACGATCCTCGAGCTTCAGCTTGATCATTTAGACGAGAGTGATTCCCTTCCTCGCTACGCCAAATAATAATAAGTGCCGTTAGTTCCGACCGCGGAGACCTGGAAACGGACGGAGACACACGACGGAAGGGAAACGGAGAGAAAAAGATTTCTCGCGTTTACGTTCGGTGCAATAATAATAAAAAAAAAGAAAAAAAAGAAGGCGTGCGCGCGTGCGTACGTAATTAAACACATGGAATGTGTCCCTCGAAGTTCCTAAAAGTTGCGCGTCGAAGAGGCGAGCGCGAGTGAGAAAAAAAAGAAAAAAAAAGAAAAGAACAGCGTAAAACTGAAATTCGATTCGCGCGACGAACTGGACGAAAGTGTTTGTCTTCGAGGTGTTTACGCGCGCGCGGGTAATACCGTTATTTGAATTTTTTTTTTTTTTTATCCTGCTCTCGTCGACTCCTCGAGAGCAAAAATTAAGAGGAAAAAGGGGTGCGCGAGGGGAGGGGAAAAAGAAGCGTGTCCCTCCTCCCTCCCCTCTTCCCCTCTCCTCCGTGATTGTGTTCGTCGTTGCGAGAAGAAACGCGTAACGCGTTGCAGTTTCAGCTTTGTCACGCTTTCGTCGAGTTCGCGGGATAATAGAATAGAACCGGCCGAGGACGAGCGAAACGGACTTCTACTTTGCGATGGAGACTTGCGAACGAAGCGTTGGCGTTGGGATGAGTGTTGAGCGAAGAGATAATATAATGGAGCATCGTGCGTGAATGAGAGAGAGAGAGAGAGAGAGAGAGAAAGATGCAAGGGGATAAGAGATGGGGATAAGAAAAAAAAGGAGGAACAGGAGATGGAGTCCGTAGAATTTACTAGCGTTACTAGTCCCGGTGCAAGCTGAAACGGGGATCGGATGTGAGCGGCGTGAACAGATTTATAAAAATGTTCGATCCCCCTTTTCCCTCGTGTGCGTGTAAATATTGCACCGGGGCCCAACCCCCTGTTAGCACGTAAGACGTAAATACAAAATTCGAGAAGAAGAAGAAGAAGAAGAAGAAGAAGAAGAAGAAGAAGAAAAAAAAAGAAGAAGAATCTGTGTAAAATACGATATTGTGATAAGATGTGTAAAGATATGGGATTAAAGAAAAAAAAAGAAAGAAAGAAAGAAAGAAAGAAATAAAGAAAGAGAGAGAGAAAGAGAGGAAGCCAGAGAATCGTCTATATACATATAGGTTAAATAACAACACGGCAGACCCCAGTTTATCAATTTTATTGAAGTACCCTTGTACGAATATAGATATTACGAGGACTAAAATACCTTAATTATGATTACTATTGTATAAAATATGAATAATAACTAATTAATTCAATTTAAATCGATCGATTTAATAATTCACGTGTAACCTTATTATTCAACCAACCCTCTACTCTCCTCACGATTTATTCGTGAATGAAATGAAAATGGCGGCGTTGTTGAAAAAGTGGCGTTCGGATGGAGGACAGCGGATAGCGGATTCCAAGCTCGTTTCTAGGAGGAGCCGAGAATCGAGCAGAAAACGAAGGCAAAATCCGATGTCCTGACGGTACGTTCCTTTTTTTTTCTTTTTCTTTTTTCTTTTCTTTTTTTTTTTTTTTTCTTCCCTTTTTCTCTTTGTTCACCGGTAGCGGACACCACCTGCCGTTCTAGAGGCGGTGTACGCATGCTCTACTTTTATGGATAACTGTACTCCTATCTCGCTTAAAGCAAAGCCACCGACTATTCCGCGTCCTCTACCAGTCTACACGGTGTCTTGGAAGACTTGGAAAATTCGTGAAATATCGAGATTCAGTCGTGTGGAAAACTTTCTTAATGGGAATAAGCGGAATTCCCTCTGGTATGTATAAATTATTATTCTATTTCGCTGAATACATTTTACTTTTTTCACTTACAATACTTTACATACGTATTTTTTGATCATTAATATCAGGAATAGAATCAAAGAATCTTGACGAGACTTCAAGATGAAATTGTAGAAAAAGATTATTTCGGATATTGCAAAATGAATAATAAAATCGATCCTATGATAGATCAAAAAAACAAGAGGAGAGTTATATCATCGATGTTTCAAAAAAATATCTCAAAATCGAAACTATTTCGCTTGAACTGATGCGTTAAAATTAATTCTTTATCTCCTCTTTAT